AAACTAAAACATTAATTCAGGTCAACTTTTTACGCGCCATAAAGGTTCGTCACACAACTTTTCCATCTAGTAGTTGAAATTAGCTGACGTGATGGAGACTTGGGAAGTATGCGACTCAATAGAGAAATTCAACCGCTAATGGGAAAAAAATTTATCTTAAAATAATAAAATCCTACTATCGGCGACAGCAGTGAAGACACACGGATCTATTTTGAATAACTTTCGATAGGAACAAGACAGACGCCTGTCGTTTTCAATGTTCGGTAGTCAAGACTTGTACGCCTTTTTTTTGGGCCCTGAGGGACCTCACGAACACGGGGAAAATTTTTTTCTCAAAATTCAAAACAAAAGTCCAATACACCATTCGACGCAGAATTGTGCGCTGAGCCTGAATCACAGGTCAAAAACCGGAAAAAACAAGTCCAGACCGATAAAAATAACATACTAGCAAATGGTCAAAATTGGTCACCACGGTTTTTGGCCTTCCGTGCCCACAGCCAATCCACTTAAAACCTTCAGAGTTAGTGTTTTGTAGCCGCCACAACGCCAGCTTTCTGATCGTATATCAAGAAGTTCGAAAACATGTAGTTTTCACGGAAAAATAGGTCAAAATGTGAAAAACTACGAAAAAACGCGCTTTTCGAAAAGTATTTTGGATATAGGGTCTCGGAGCGGCCGAGACGCAGTTCAAAACACATGCGGTTCTACTCAGTTTTGAATGGGGAATTCAAATATGAACAGAAAATGAAATTTAGAGAAGGCGTGTTTTCGAAAACGCATCTTGTCTAAATATGAGGCGAAAAGTCAGAATTCTGCTCGTAATTCTCGATTTTCTCAATCAGAACGCAACTTGTTTAGTCGACTTGGAAAACTGAGTCGACTAATGTGTATTTCGAAATGTTTAGTTCAGTTTTATGTTTTTGTGAAAATTCTTATGATTTTTCAACGTAAAAATTCGAAAAAGTCAAATTACTCGGATAGGATCCAGATACACATCAGTCGATTCAGTTTTCGATCCTAAGTCCGAATATGATACTTTTATTACATAGAAGTTGTGTTCTGATTTAGAAAATCGAGAATTATGAGCAGAATTCTGACTTTTCGCCTCATATTTAGACAAGGTGCGTTTTCGAAAACACGCCTTCTCTAAATTTCATTTTCTGTTCATATTCGAATTTCCCATTCAAAACTGAGTAGGACTGCATGTGTTTTGAACTGCGTCTCGGCCACTCCGAGACCCTATATCCAAGATACTTTTCGAAAAGCGCGTTTTTTCGTAGTTTTTCACATTGTTGACCTATTTTTCCGTGAAAACTACATGTTTTCGAACTTCTTGACATACCATCGGAAAGCTGGGGTCTTCTAACCTAAAAGGTTACAACCTCTAAGGTTTGAAGGAAATCTATTGTTTTGCTTACTTTTCGAATTTAGAGCACCTTATAAACAGTCCGACAACAGCGTTACTTCAGTCGGCTACCGCATGGTTTATTAATCAACAATGGTACTGTATGGACAAAACAACTTCAAGAAAGACCATATAGGCTCATAATTGTCATTATGAGGTCCGAAATCTGGGGGGCAGTGGAGCCACAGCCTCTTCCCCGGATTTTTGGGCAACGATTTTTGCGTTCTTTCGAAGACGCCCTTTACTATCATTTCGTAGATTGCAAGCTGCCGTGTACAGCCTTCAAACTAGAGTTGTGATCTGTCTGGTCCGGCATCGAACCACTTGATTCAGTTGGACCGGCCAGTTTTTACCGGTTTTTGCCGATTCCACAAAGTTGTGCATATTCGTTCATTTTTCATCAGGAAGACATTATGCATGTCTGCCTAGTAGTTTTTTAAAGAAAGAAAGAGCGATTTTGTACATATGTGTTCACATAGTTTGTGAGTTGAATATATAATAATATGATTTTTGATCTTACAATTCACTTGACGTTTTTTCTTCTACGTATAGTATAACGTTTACTATACATAGAAATATGCACGAGAAAATGTATGTATACATTGTGAAAAATCAAAATTCTGACCCTAATTCGCAATTTTCTCCATCGGAACTCAACTTTCACGCAGTGAAAATATCATATTTGAAATCAGCGTCGAAAATCGAGTCGAATGATGTACCTTTTTATCTTATTCGATTATTTCAATTTTTTTTGAATTTTAGCGTCGAAGAATTTATTACTGAGATTTTCATCAAAAATGAAAATGAACGAAAAATTTGAAATATGTATCATTCGACTCGGTTTTCGACGCTGATTCCGAATATAATATTTTCACTGCGTGAGAGTTGAGTTCTGATGGAGAAAATTGCGAAGTAGGGTCAAAGTTTTGTTTTTCCCCAGTAAAGTCGACTTTTCTTAGCGGGAAAAGGAATTTGAAAAAGAACTCTCCATTTGTTTGTTGCCCGTTTGAAGGCGGTTCTAATGGTGTGTGATAGGGGGTATAGGTCTTGATCTAAAAAGCCTGATGTGCGCTCAAAATGAGTGGCTGGTTCTCGGCCTCTGAAAGTTTGAACGTCGCTGTCGGACGAGCGTTTACTTTTGAGAAGTTCTAGACACATTTTCGTAATTTAGTTTTGAACGCTGATTCAGAAAAAAAAACTTTCAGAACTTCATTGTGTAATACGCAATAATGAATGAGGTCTATAATGAATGTGACTCAATTAAACAACAACATCAGAGGAAACTTTATTTTTCCTAATTATTCTTCTTGAACTAGTTTTTCTATTACTAAAACATTGCAAGTAACTTACTTGCAAAGTTCGACGTTCTCAATAAAAAAGTCCACTACAAAAATGCATCGAAAAACAATTTCTATTTCCTAATTTTAGGCTCAGCCTAACGGAGCCATTCTTCTAATCTTATTTTTAATAATTTGGGATGTTTTACTGTTACAATTATTTTTACGCATTCGATATGTTTTGTTATGCCTGTTTTTCTTTTTCTTTTGTGACTGTCTCTTATTTCTATTATTAAACTTTTTTTTCTATTCTTAGATATATTCTGACTACGGTATTAAAATTAAATTATTATCTCACTTTGAGCCCAAAAAAATATAGCGAAAAAAATATTTATCTTCTGAGTAAACAAATGGTTGCAAAAATAGTAAAATACATGGTTTAACTAAATGAGCGAAAGTCTTATAGTTTGTTTCGTTTCAATAGGTTTGATTTTCAAAGTAACACAAATCGAAGATTTTGTCCTCCAGAGCGACATTCACTACAAAAAACGAAAGTATATTCGGCGCTCACAGTTGCACAAATTTGTAGTAGATACTGTTTAGTATTGGTGGTACAAATGTTGAGTTCAAAGAATATGTTGTTACGGAGCAATTAGTTCCGTAAAAGCTTAAAAGCAAAGTCTAAGTTGACAATTGTTCGTAATATTCGAATTTCTCTAGCCTTTTCCTCAAAATTCAACGTATCAGCATCGAAATAACGTCTAGACATGTAATTTTCGGCAAAACTCATTAAAATGTTTCTTCTGAACGTATCTTCTACTTGGAAAGAAATGAGAGACGAACAATTCAGCTTATCAAAAATTTTGTACATTTATCACAAAAATGAAAGAGACATTTTTGGTAATAAGTATACACAGTTGCTACGATAGCAAAACGAAATATTTCTCAACATAATATTCTTTGTGCCTTGCCAAGAATATTATTTTACAAGTCAGTTGCTCAATCGTGTGTTAATGCTGCTTTATTTCTTCAGAAAACGATAAAATAAGTGTGATCTTTAAATGTTTTCAGAAACACTTTAGCAAGAGTTAATTGTACAAATATAATTACATTGGTAGTGTGTGATGGTAATGTATTAAAACAACGCCTAATTAGTCCACGTGATAGTGACTTTCGAAATTTTGAGCGTGCTATTGAATGGAATAGATATCTTAGACAATGATCACTGCGTGTAAATGAATACCAATTAGATAATACAAATCTTACACTTAGATAAGCGGCGGATAAAGTGCTATATATCATAAATAGCTTTTGCTTAAAAAATGCACTAGGCTACCACAAATGACAAACGATTTGAGGAACCTGTTACGTTGACAGAACAGTCAAGAATCTTGTAGATTAGCCTCAAATACAAGAATATAATTGATATTCAACTGGAGCTCATCTGGATACGTCAACGGCCATTTTGCACTTTATTCTTATAAGAATGATTAATCCATCAGACCGGTAAATGACTCCTACTCCTATGTTGGGAAGTACTCCCAATACCGCGACAGTATAAAGGGTGTTCTAGAAGTTCTGAAGTAATTTTAGAATGATGCATTTTAAAATTACTTCAGAACTTCTAGAACACCCTTTATATTACAAAGAGTACACTGCATTCCTAGAACGAAAAATAGTATTTCCATTTCTCTGCACAAGCAAATAATTGTGCGTTTTAGGGTGAGGTACAGTACCATATGTTCTCGTATCATGGCTAAGAAAAATGCTCTCTTCATCACATTTAATTTATATAGTAAAATGAACACTGACCAGCATCAAAATATCGTTTAAAACGACGTTACAATGAAAACACCGGCCACATTTAAGAGTGTTTAGCAATTTATACGAAACCAGTGTTCATATTTGAGAAGTATTGTATAAACACTTACAAATATTAAAAGTTTTGAAATATAAATTTTCAAAAAAAAGGCGCATAAACCTGCAACGTATACAGGTTAGAAAGGAGCTGCAATTTTGCTGTTTGTTGTTCATTGTCTTTTTTTTTTTTTGTCATTCCTCTATTTAGGTAGTGGATAGTGTGGATAAAGCTCCGCATACCCTCGAGTGCACTTGACTACCGTTCTGTCAGATGTTAATTCATAATTACTTTTTATGAATGATAATTTTAAGACAGTGTAGAACTCTAGATCCGTCGATACTTATACCCACATTCTTAAAATATCGGATCCGTCTCATTGTCACGATGCATGGTAATCATCAAGAAATCATCCATTTACAATACTTCATTATTATATTGTTATCGTTTTCGTCATCTTTTAGTGAGATAGACCATTAGATTCTTGTGAAATATAAGCAGATAAAGAATGTCTTCCAGTTGCTCGTTGTTGAGTAGTGACTGGAAAAGATTCGTTCGAGATTGGTGATTCAAGTTTAAATTTTGGTGTTTGTTGTCCATTGTCATTACTTTTTATCAAACTCAGACTGATATTTGTTCCACCCAAACGTTTTTCATTAACCATTTCGGATATTCTTTCAATTATTTCTTCTGATGGATCATCGTTTTCCGGATCATCAGCCATGTATGTTATTGAGAAACAAGCCCTTAAATTTTTCTTAATTAATCCTTTCTCATTCGCATTCGAAAGCATTTCTTCTGACTCGTCTTTAACATCACATGGGTTCTCATCAAAGCCATCACTCTCCTTGTCATTATATTTCCTAGGACTTTCCTCTTTTCTTGCACGTGCATCTGGGTCAGCTGCTTTAACATTATTCTTTAACTGATTATGCCATTCTGATTCTAAATCTGAATTAGCTCTGTCGTCATCATCCGAATAATTGTCAAACTCAATCTCATCAACGTTCTCTTTAGTATATAATTTTCTTGTATATACACGTTGATATCTATCAACCAATACCGAGGCAAGCATTCCAACTGTTGCCGTACCAGAGAAAGCGCACAGGCACGCTAATACACGACCGGCAGCTGTTATTGGATACATATCACCGTATCTAAATAAAAAAGTATGCACAATAAATGTACAGAACATCACCAATGTACATACCCCGTTGATGTTATTGTAATTATACCCCAATACGTTGCTCTTGGTATACTATCAAATACTACGCCATTCTCTGCATTTTCAGCTAAATAAGTAGCTGCTCCAAACAGAAATGATAACAGTGTCAATATCGCTATCATAATAAGAAAATCGGGCAGTGATTCTCTGGTAGCTGCTGCTAAAACTCGCAATGTTTTAAAATGTCGAAATATACGATATACTTTGAAGACCCGTGTAAATCGTAACATTCTCAATAGTCTTAAACCAGCATATGAGGACGTATCAATATCGTTTTGTGTATCGGTTAAAGTTATAGCTACGGTTATGTAATATGGTATAATAGCTATTAGATCAATCCAATTGAGAATACTTTTAACAAAATCACAATAGGATGGTGTACTAATAATACGAACTAGAAATTCTAACGTGAAAAACGACACTGCAATTGTTTGAATAATAAAAAATGGTGAATAAAATAATGCAGCACATATCGGATATGATATTTTTGTTAGATTAAGTTTTAACGATTGATTAATCAACCTTTCATGTTCTATCTGGCAAATATTGTCGTACAAACCATTATATTCTGGTAATGTTTCTACAGCAAGAGCAATACACGACAATAATATCATACACATCGAGACAAAATTAAAAATTTTTGCTGAAATAGAATATTCTGGATACTCCATATTTGCCCACATATGTCGGCGTAAACGATTTCGAGGTAACCGAATTTTTCTTGTTTCTTTAACATTTTCATCATTTCGTACTTGTTGTAATGCTTGTAAACCTAATTCAAAAAATGTTACTTCCTCTAAAAATGTGTCTAATGGAACGCTCTGTGGTCGCCTGAGACGTCCTTGTGATTGATAATAATACAATATTGAATGAAACGAAGCCTGATGACGATCAAAAAAATATTCATCATGAACTTTGTCGTAATATGGTTTCAGTCTTTTGCGATTACCCAACAGTGTATGTGGATATAACTCCAATGTTGATCGGTGTGTTTCGAAATGTCCACCTGACACGTTGATATGAATACGATTTCGCGCTGATTTAGTATTTGTTGCCATCCTTGCTTCTCGTTTTAATTTAGTCAAATTTGGAATATTAAGAATCTCACTAAAATGTCAAACAATTTGTATTAAGGGCACCCCCCTCAGAAATGGTGATTTTCGGTTAAAAAATCGGTTTTGAGATACGCACATGAAAAGATAGTCTGAAGTGTCTACTTTCAGAATCTGTATTGCTTTTGGTTATAAAAGTGGTTTTTCCAGCCTTTTGAGCAAGTTTTCTAAGAGCCTCGAAAAAACGGGTCTTCAAATAATGGTTTTTTCCTGGATACTTATGCAATTAAAATTTTTCTGAAAACACAGTTTTGTAGAGCAAACGTTTCTGATCAAAATAAGACCTCGCACAACTGTTTATGACCTTGCATCGAAAAGTTACAGGCATTTTCCTCGAAGTCATAAAATCGACTATTTCATACAGCGTTTAATAGGCTTATATTATATACACATTTAAAGAGAGGTCGAGGAATTCCGAGACCTTGTCGTTTTAGATTTGAGATTTAGCTCATTATTGTTATTCTTAAATTTCTTTCTGACAATAAGGACGATATCAATCTGAATCTGATTGATCCCATTGTATTACATATTTATAAAGAGAGATTTTCCTCTTTCTTTCGTGCTTGCCCTTGGTGGTGACACATCACTGAATTAAAAACCCAAAAACAAACAAAACAGAACAATTGCAGAAACGATTTTGGATTTCAAAACGATCCCTTCAATGAGTAGAGGAGGACGGCCACGCGGTTCAACGAGAGGTGGCGGAGGAAACCGAGGTAATGGCAACTCATCGGTTGACGTTCCCCAAAAGTCGATCTCACAACAACAAACAGCTCAACTGAAATCCGAGTTCTCGATTGCTCCTTTGGTTCTCGAAGGTCTATCGTCAACAAGGATTGAGCTTAACAAATTGATCGTGACTCAATTACCTGAAGAGAAACTTTCCGACATTCAACTCAATCGAAACAACGGCTCTTTCACGCTATATGCCGCTGATGTTAAATCGTTTAATCTCCTACTGAACGGCGCCTCGAAATTAAGGACGGGCAGTGAACAAGCAACAATTCGTATTCCTCGATCGATCCAACGCATTCTCAACATGGATAAAGACGCTTTTGTTAAGAACGTTGATCTAGACATCGAAGATGACGACATCCGAACAGAGCTATCAAAAAATGGCTTTAACGTCGAAAAATTAAGTCGTCTACAAAAGAGAGGCAACACGGTCCAACTCGAACAGTAAAAATTACCTTCGCCGATGTTCAAAATCGAAATTCGTTCGTTCAAGTAGGCCTCCAAATCCAACATATGCATTTCTTGGCTGAACGAGCAAATCACAACACAAAGCCAGCTCAATGTTTCATCTGCCTACAATTCGGACATGTATCGAAGTATTGCAAGCGAGCTCAAAACCAAATCTGCGCCAAATGTGGAGATAATCATCGTCAGGAAAACTGTGACAAAGGAAATGTGCCACCTGTTTGCTGCAATTGCAAAGGTGAACACTTAGCAACATCAGTCGAATGTCCAAAATTTAAAGAACAACAACAAAAGACCAAGGCGACGATCGACAAATACTCCGCGTCGTCAACGCGACCAACGGCGAAAGCGCCGAGACTATACGATGACAAGGAATTCCCGCCTCTGCCATCATCTCGTGAACACTACTTTTCTGCAACTAATGAAGAACTAACAACGCAAATAATTGCTTGCGTCACTGAATCCATGTCAACAATGATTGAAGAAGCAACAAAACGAATATTCGACGTAATGAGTCGTAAATTTGAACGTCTCGCTGATCGTCTAATAGCTCGACTGGGCATTCGACTGGTTGATGATAATCTTTCCGATGTCGAAATCAACGAGAATGAGTGCGAAAAAACAAGAACAGGAAATACGACGGAAGAAAAACAGCTGACTACTGAAAAAGTGATACGTCGACGAACCGACAGACACACGACAACCAGCCTCGATCGATTAGATTCATTAAGCCGGGGGCAACAGCAGATGATTCCATCTACACCTGCAGCCAAGCGAAAAGAGGTCTCGCCAAATGGTCCAACAAAATCGTCAAAAACCAAAACCAACAATTCAACAACAGATGACAAAAATGGTTAAAGTCTGTCATATCAATGTCACCTCGATTAAAAAACATCAGGACGAACTCTACGCTCGATTCTATGACTACGATATATTATCAATCAATGAAACTAACCTAAGGCCGCAGCAACATCTCGGTCTCCCAGGATTCAACATTTTTCGGAACGATCGAACTGATCAATCCGGCGGTGGCGTTCTTCTCGCCATCAGAGAAAACATAAAATGCCACGAAATTCTCAACAAAACTGTCGAAAGGAATGAGGTCATCGCGGTGCAAATTGAAACATCGAGTGGGCTATTGCTCGTCACATCGATTTATATACCACCAAAATCGAAAATGAAACGACAAATTTTTGAAGAATTATATCAGATGAACAATGATTGTCTCATTCTCGGAGATCTGAACGCGGCTTTACAGTCAAAAGGATCGAGAAAAACAAATGCGAAAGGGCGACAACTGCAAGATATACTCGACGAAGGTTTTCTGCAATGTATCGACAACGAGCTTACCACGTACGTACGTCACGAATACGAAGAGAAACTCGACTGGATAATAGCAAGTCAACCGACGATCTTCTTCATTTCGAACGTCAGCACTCACCCGCCGCTAGGATTACTCAGCGGACACAAACCGGTGGCATTCGAATTATCAGCTGTAGCCGACAGAAAACCGCTGTCGCCTCGGTGCTCTTTTAATTTCAAATCAGCAAATTGGCAGATCTATCGCCAACAGTTAAACAATCTCCTCGAAACCTGGGACATGACGAACGAACCACTGACAACAGACGACATCGACGCGTATTCAAAATTCGTCAATGACTGCATCGTAAGAGCATCAAAAACAGCAATTCGGCCTGGCAAACAAAATTTGAAACAACTGGAACCGAGCACCACCACAAAAATGCTGATTGATCAGAAACACCAAGCGTATCGGCAGTGGAAAAAGAGCAATCTCGATGTTGCCAAAAAACAATACTATAATTTCAAAACTTTAGTAACAAACGCTCTTCGAAATGAACGGATCGCTCGATTCAAGAAATTGTTGTCTACTCTGAGCACAAGACAAATGCACTCAGCCCAAGTGTGGGCGACGGTTCGAAAGTTTCACAACAAAAGAACAAAGCAAACATACGCAAGTACTGTCAAATATGGTACTCAAACAGCCTCGTCAAATCAAGAAAAAGCCAGTCTGTTCGCGACTTACTTCGAGAATGAAGTGTTTGTTGAAACACTGAATTGTCTACCGTTTCATCGTCAAGTTACCGAACAAGTAGAACGCATAAAAACTAAAATGAAACAATCAACCAAGAAGCCACCGCAGATAACGGAACGAGAAATCAAGACAACATTGAAACAACTACAGAACAGTGCACCGGGCCCAGACGACATCCATAATCGTTGTTTAAAGAACCACACGAAATCTCTAGTTCAACATCTAGTGCGTCTTTTCAATGCAGTAATAAGTGTCGGACATATTCCATCAATTTGGAAAAGAGCAAACATTATCCTGCTTCTCAAGCCGAAGAAAGACAAACAACAACTGTCTAGCTATCGCCCAATTAGCCTCTTGAGCTGCCTCGGAAAGTTTCTTGAGAAGATTATCAAACGACGCCGAACAAAACAACTCGAAGAACGAAACATTCTTCCAGTTCATCAAGCCGGGTTTCGTTTAGGAAAGACTACTATGTACAACGTCGTTCGACTTGAAAGATATGCACACGATCAGCTTGTCAAACGCAGGCACTCAGCAGTGATTTTCTTCGATATCAAAGCCGCTTTCGATTCAGTTTGGTTCGATGGACTGATA